ACCAACCACAGTGGGAAACAACCCTCAGTTGCAAATTGCTGACTCTAAGTGGCAGACCACAGACATCCATGCTGAAGGAAGGGCCGCACACTGGAGACTCACCAATTTTGGGGTTACAAAAGGCTTTCACACAAGTGAAGCTTCCATGGCACAACAAGCTTGGTGTTTTGGCTCCAATAACATGGAATGAAAACTGGAGTTGAAATTATTTCTTTTTCTTTTCAAGATGAACCTGTTTGCAATAACTGTCAACCTGGAATTTTCACCTTCCACATATTATTTGATACAGTAAACTTGTACTTCCTAAATTCATCTTTTCAAAATATAACAGTCACCAAAATTATTTTATAGGGCCTAGTTCCAGTTCTACAAGAATTAAACTTTTCCTTAGATCCGTTATTAAGATCAAATTCTGCAAATTTGGGTCTGTGCTTCATTCAAACAGAGAATATCATGATCTTAGCATAACAACACTTGAATATTTCAAATCATCATTCCTCTAAGTATAAGAGTCTTCTCTCCCAACTCTCACAAATATGAAGGCAAATAAGAAAATGTCATCCTCTCCAGTGGTGAAATCCAAATTTTTTTTACTACCGATTCTGTGGGCTTTGCTTGGTGGGTGTGGCAGGGGAAGGATACTGCAAAATCTCCATTCCTACCCCACTCTGGGGCCCGCCAGAGGTGGTATATTCTGGTTCTCCAAACTACTCAAGCTTTCCGCTACTGGTTCCCCAGAACCTGTCAGAACCTGCTGGATTTCACCCCTGATCCTCTCCCACTATGGATGAGAGAGGCTGTGACCAGGCTTAATGATCACAAAATGCTGAATATTTGTTTTGGGAAGAAGAAAGAAAATGGGGAAAGGGGGAGAAAGAGGAATAGCCTGAAGCATTTTGGTGGAGGGCAGGGTTCACTGAGTTTAAGTTCTGCCTCTTGCAACATTCTGTCTTTCAGTGTGTCTGACCCCCCACTCAGTGGCTGCAGACCATAGGCACCTCCTCACATCCCTTTGGCAGCCTCTAAAACCCTCATTCATAACAGGAAGGAATGACATTTTCTTATTTGCCTTCTTATTTATGCAATTTGTCTACATCTTCCAACATTCTGTAACTGTCCTGTTGCAAGTCTCATTGGTTGTGCTTCAGTTTCTAATGCATTTTAATTAAATAGCAAAAAAAAACCCTTTTTAAACATGTCTCTACATTTCTGTGCAGGATATGCCTCCAAGAAACCAAAAACTAGGAGGCAGTGTTACCAAATAGGTGGTACTTGCGGATTCAGGTGCAGGTTTCCTCTCCAAAAGTATGGAAAATGTGGCATTCGGCACTGTTGCATCAGGTAATTTTAATTAATCATTTGACAGACCCTACATGTTGCCAGGGAGTGAATTTTTTCTTCCTGACCCCCTTGAAGCAGTGATCATTTTCCTAAATTTAAGAGTCTTTCCAATATATATGTAAAACTTTGTTATATGGGAAATTTATCATCTTTAAATGTTAATGCACATTAAGGAGTTAATGTTCTTTTCAATCAGAGTACAGTTATGTTGTCTGGGATTTTCACTTTGTCAATTTTTAAAGTCTTTAATCCAGTAAAAAAAAATGCAATATGGATGCATATATCTGGGAAAAATATTTTATTTATTAATCAAATTTAGATGGCCGCCAAACTCATGGAAAGTGACTCTGGGCAGCACACAACAATCCAATAAACAATAAATATTGAACTATCATTGCCTAAAATCTGTATAGAAAATTATGAAGAAACATTAAAAACTCTAAAAGCAGAACTCAACAAGAAAATGAAAATAGTAGACCAAGGGATATCAATAAAGGAGTCCGCAGGCCTGCTGGCATAACTGGGTTTTAAGGGAATTCTGAAAGCTGAGGATTGATGAAGCTGACTTCATTGGTGGGTGGGAAGATTAGATTAGAAGAGAAGATTACACAATGCAGGAGCTATATCAAAGTAGGCCCGCTACCTTGGGCCCGCCAAAAGCAGCTCCTTAGACAAAGGAACCTGAAACATACTTCTTCCATGGTAGATGTGGTTAGATGGGCAGATAAAATCAGGAAGAGACAGTCCCTCAAATATCCCAATTCTACATCATGTAGAGCTTTAATGGTCAACATTAGCACCTTGAATTGGACTGGAAACAAACTGATAACCAATATAACATGTACAAAATTTAATAATAAATATACATATATATGTTAGGGAAACTAACATTCAAATATATGTTATTTTGAGGAAAGAGTTTGCATACATTTCATGTTTTTAGGAATGATCTCACAAAAAGTGAATGGCATATACCAGAGGTGTCAAACTCAATTTCATTGAGAGCCTCATCAAGATTGTATTTGACCCTGAGGGGCCAGACTGGGCATGGCCAGGATGGGTGTGGCCAGTTCAATGTCACTTGTGTCGGAGGCACCTGTGGTGGCCTGAGTGCTCTGCCAGAGAAAACAGGCTCCCGAGCTCCGTTTTCAGGTGCTATGGATTCCTGAAATCCTCTGCCAGCAAAATGGAGCTCAGGGCCAGGCCGAACGTTTTCACTAGCCTATGAGCCACTCCTTGTTAATCATGGGATCTGAGCGCGCTTTGTTGGCACTGGTGGCACCGGCAGTCCCGCGGGCCAGATCTAAGTGTGGGCTCCGACTCCGACTCCTGGGCCTTGGGTTTGACGCCCCTGGTATATACAAACATGTCCATAGAATAGCAATAGCAATAGCACTTAGCTTTATATACTGCTTCATAGTGCTTTACAGCCCTCTCTAAGTGGTTTACGGAGTCAGCATATTGCCCCCGACAATCTGGGTCCTCATTTCACCGACCTCAGAAGGACGGAAGGCTGAGTCAACCTTGAGCCTGTGAGATTAAAACTGCCAAACTGCTGGCAGCCGTCAGTCAGTAGAAGTAGCCTGCAGTACTGCATTCTAACCACTGCACCACTGCAGCTCATAATAAAGAAATATGAAACCTCTCTGCATCACATGAATGGGAGTAATAGAAAAAGGTTTACCAGAGAGCCCAACTTACTTTCTTTGGCTCCCGATTCTGAGGCAAGGCAAAGATTTCCAAATTTTCAGGAGTTTTGGAACTCTTATAGGATTCTTCCAAGATAAATCAGGATAGCTGCTTTGGAAAGAGAAACACTGGTTTACTCTCATATTCCATAGGCTGTGTGGAGAGGAATCAAACTAGGCTTCCTGTTCATAGTTCAGTCTCAGTCTCTGGCTTGCCTTCCCCAGATAGGCACTTCCAAGTGCTCCCCACATTGCTGGCCTGGTGCAATAATGACTATAATCTGGAGATTGGGCAGAGAGGTCAATTGAAATGGCAGCACTTGTGGTGATAAAACAAAAGGAGGGTTCCCAATAGTTTTTTTGCTCAACCCAGTTTGAAAATGTGGTTATCATCAAAGTAGCAAAGAAGTGCTTGGACCTCAACCTTAAAGCATCTGAAGCTCCTCTTAAAAGTTTGTTTGACTTTCAACTTATTGTTTTAATTTGCTTGAATCCCTCAGTTCACAAATCCCAAGAGAAAATCCTATTGCCGACAACCCACCATTTAACTTTTGAAACATCTGAGAAGTCTTCTTGCTTGAGAGCCTGAATCCTGCCTTTTCCCTGCCAGCACAGAATACTGCCCTTTCTCCAAACTGCCTTGGCTGGCAGTGAAAGATTGCCTGCTTTGAAAGATTTTTCTGAGTTCTTGCATTTAAAATCAAAATAAATAATTCTTGCTATTTGCAGCATTCAAAATGAAATGTTGTCACTAATCTGTATTTATAAGCACCGCCCTGGAGCCAATAATCTAGAACCAATTCCAAGAAGGGCAATGAGATTGGTCAACTAAGTTGATCGTGAAAAGTGATAACACATGAAAACAAACTTACTATTTGACTATTTCCATTCAGAGAGAGCAATGATCCACAAAGCACAGAAAAGTAGTAAGTCCAAGAAGTGAAAAAAAAGGAAAGGAAACACACTCCACACGTTTCTGTCCCTATGAACCAACTTTGACTACACCATGTCCACCACCCCCGTGTCATAAGTATCTTTGTGTTTTTTTTACACTTTTTTCTCCTCTTTCTCCTTTTAAGGTTTTCATGAATTTCATCCAAGTAGAACTATTTTTTTCTTCCCCTTCTTTTCTGCCAATTCATTCTTCAATAAGTTACTTGCTTTGGGGTTTAATTCTCATTCGTTCATTCTCCCTATGTGACTAAACCAACCATCAGTAGCTAATTAATAAATAAAATATTTTCACACAAACTTTGGAGATGTTAGCAGGACATTCCCATTTTTTATTTTGGACTGATTGCATTACATATAATGCAATCAATATAATACACCAATAAAAATTGAAGAAAAAAGATACAGTTTTCAATATCTTTCATTAAAAGTTTGTATTCTCTGTGAACCTTTATCTATACATCTTCTAATGATGTATATTTGTTCATTTGTTTTATCTGTGGAGATATCTGCTAGCAGGTCATCTTCATTTGTAGATAGGAGATTTGTTTGATTGTTCAATATACTGTATACATATACATACCCACACCCATATACATATACAGATCATTTAATTGTTAATTACAATTTACACATTTAACTTCTGGTTTTTGCAGGTAAGGAATTATTGTTATCTAATATGGGGTCAAAAATTCTTTCCTCTAACCTAAGTAGTAAAAAGGCTAGCATTTTTATACAGACATTTTTCCTCCTCCACCACCACCACCTCACTAAAATGATATCCAAAAAGAGGAAAAAGATGTCACATCTGAGGTGACCAAATTGAACGTATCATGCTCCGTGACTGTTTTGTTACTTCAAAAGCAAAATCGTTAGATTGGCAAATTCCAGGAAGAATTTTACAACGACAACAGGTTTGTATCCTATTTTGCTTCAACTGCCACTGTGTCACAACTTCCCAAGAATGCTATAAATTGTGGATGGCGTCTTTCAGGTCAAACACTGAGAGACTTTCCTGTCTCTAGGTCTCTTGTAAACTCTCTTGGATTCTGACCTTCTAACAGAAACTATGAAGATCCCTCATTTCCTTTTGGCTGGTCTGTTTGTTCTCCTTCTGGTTTCTGGAGGTAAGGGATTAAAAAGAAAAGGAAGGAACAATGGAAGGCAATTTCTGGGTCTGATCTTCAGCCATGCATAAGAACTCCCTTTTCTGCCTTGGCCCTGGAATGAAAGCATCTTCCAGATCAGGGACAGGGTCTCCAGGCTTTGCTGTATCCTTGGGAAGATCCTGGCTGCCAACCATGCAGGCAAATGTTCAGCCACCTGGTAAAGGGGGAGCAATTCATGGCAGATGAATCGGTCTTAGAACACAGTCTTGGTCTCTTTTACTGAAGTTGCGGTGAGCTGGGATGGGGGAGAAAATTTGTTTTTAAACTCCTTTTAAACAAGGAAATGGCTAAGGTGTGTCAGGATAGAGAGACTGGGCGGTCACAAGGGATGACAGACCTTTTAATTGGATGCTTCCTCGCATGGCGCTCCCATACAACACGTCTCCTGCGTGAGCTGCACTGGCTTCCAGGTGCGCTTCAAGGTGTTGGTTATCACCTTTAAAGCACTCCATGGCATAAGACCTAGTTATCTTTGAGACCGCCTGCTGCTATCGACGGCCTCCCATCGACCTGTGCGCTCCCACAGAGAGGGGCTCCTTGGGGTGCCATCAGCCAAAAATGTAGGCTGGTGACCCCCGGGGGAGGGCCTTCTCTGTGGGGGCACCTACCCTCTGGAATCAGCTGCCCCCAGAGATAAGGAAAATCCAAGACCTCGGTGCCTTCCGCCGTGCCCTTAAAACCTTCTTTTTCCAGCAAGCCGGGCTGGCCTAACACTTTTTAAAATGTTTTTAATTGTTTGTTATTGTTTTTAATCATGGGGCCAAATTTATATATATCTTTTTAATTGTATTTTAATGTTTGTAGTTTATGCTTTTACTTGGCTGTTCACCGCCCTGAGTCCTCAGGGAGAAGGGTGGTATACAAATTTAAAAATAAATAAATAAATAAAAGAAAATCAACAGGCTATTCTGAAACTGGGTTCCCACACATCCTATTTTCCTCAAGAAAACCCTGAATGCTTTGTGTACTGCTTGATAAAGAATATCCTTCTGCCTTTGAGGTCTGCCAAGTCAGATCAAAAGGAGAGTAAAATGGTCTATGTACGGCTAGCAACACCTTGGCCACAAACCAAGGGATTGTTACCTTCTCATGGTCCTTTGCTAGGCTGAGATTTATTACATTTCCCTTTCTATCTAAATTACTATATAAGAATTCTGTTTCACTCTAAACCTCTCTTATCTTCATATCAATGACGGGGCGAACTGTGTGGATAATTATTTGTTTTGCTTTGTTTCTTAGAGACCCATTTCCTGTTTGACCATTTGTGGTGGGCTGGGGTTGGGGGTTGATATGTGTAATGGCCAGCTTGCTTTAATCTGCACAGGAGTATTTTAGCAAAGTTTCAAGAGAGCAGTCCATAGCAATCCCAATAGAAGGAACCAGACAGGGCTGGCAGCAAACAGTTTTTTCACCACAAAACTAACCACTATGCTAAGCAAAACTCAGTTGTGGGTTGCTGATTCTTAGTGGCAGACCACAGGCATCCATGCTGGAGGAAGGACCAAACATTTGAAACACAGAAATGTTGTGGTTGCAACGCATTTCCACAAGAAGTGATGCTTTCATGGACAACAGGCTTGGCTTTTTGGCTCCAATAATCTGGAATGAAAATTGGAAATGAATTTTTCGTCTTAAGATCTCAGGAATTCTGGGTCTTCTAGTATAATGTATCTGAAGAGCATCCAGCTGGGTTTGCTGATGAGTGTTTCAACTATTAAAGCTGTTTCCCAGAATACAAGAGTTGTTGCATGATAATAATTTAAACAAAAAGATATTAGCCACCTCTTGAGGAGATTCTGGCTCTGTATTTCCTGCATTAAATAGAAGGTTGAACTCAGCAGGTTTCCACTGCCCTCCATTTTTATGCCATAAAAGAAGAGAAAAATCCTACCTTTGATCTACAGTAGTTGAATCAATGCCGTCCTTAAGGAAAAGAGAGTCTGTCAGCTGACTTTGGCAATACTAACATATATGGATAATTAAAAATTGTTAGGAACAAGATGCCATTTCAACTCAAGAAGAGGGAGCATGCTTAATGGCCACAAAATGCTGAGTATATTTTGGGAAGAGAAAATGGGGGAAAGGGAAAGAGAAATAGTATGAAGCATCTTGGGAGGGAAGGGTTCACTGAGTTTAAGTACTACATCTTGCAACATTCTGTCTTTCTGTCTGTTTTAAGTCTTTCCTAATTCTCCCTCAATGACTGTAGGCCATAGGCAGCTCCTCACAGGCCACTGGCAGCCTGATTCATAGTGGGAGAGAATGACATTTTCTTATTTGCCTCCCTATTTGTGAGATTTGCCTACATCTTCCAACATTCTGCAAACATTTTGTTGTCACCTCACTCATCATTCTTCTGATTCTTATCCATGTTAATAAATATTCTCCTTGCTTTTTATCTTTCCTTGACTTTTTATCAAGAGTGAATTCTTTTTAAATAAGTCTCTCCACTTCTGTGCAGGTTTTGCCTCCAATAAACCAAAAAGTAGGAGGGAATGCTACCTACAAAATGGTACTTGCAAATTGTGGTGCAGTTATCCCCTCAGAAGATATGGAAGATGTGGTTTTCTGCGAAAGTGTTGCATCAGGTATTCTTTTTTTCTAATTAATTGACAGATCCTATAAGTTGCCAGGGAATGAAAGGTTTCTTCCTAAACAACCTTGGGAACAGTGATCATATTCCTAAGTATAAGAGATTATGAATGCATGAATGTTCAAAGACGAGAAGTTTCCCAGTTTCCCATAATTCAAAGATAGATAGATGATAGATTAGATAGATGACAGACTTTTGTACATATCTATCTATCTATCTCTATCTATCTCTATCTATCTCTATCCATCTATCTCTATCTATCTCTATCTCTCTACACACACACACACACACACACGTGTGTGTGTGTGTGTGTGTGTGTGTAGAGTGTAATTTATTTGCTGCCTATCTGATCATTTGTAGTAAAGATAGATAGATAGACATACAGATATAAATATAGATGTTGATAGATTAGATGATAGATTAAATGATAGATAGATAGATAGATAGATAGATAGATAGATAGACAGACAGACAGACAGAAAGACAGACAGATGAAACTTCTCATCTTTGACTATTACCAGTTATGTATATTTTAAGTGCAGCTACATTGCCTGAGTTTTTCACTTTGTCAGATGTTATAATACTTTCCTGCAGTAAAATGATACTTTTGATACTTTCCTGCAATAAAAAAAGAAAATGGAAAAGGAATGCATATACCTAGGGAAATGTACAAAGCATGCATACTGTATGCCAGGGAAAGTAACATTCAAATATACAGTACATAATTGTTGGAGTTTACATCTATTTGATGTTTTAGGGATGATTTCACAAAAAGTGCATGATATATACAAACGGGTCCATAGATTGAAAGAACACGAGAGCTCTGTGTAGCACATCAGTGGGAGTAATAGGAAAAGGTCCACCATAGAACACAAATAACCTTCTATTGACTCTTGATTCCAAGGTATGGAACAATTTTTCAGATTTTCAGGAATTTGGGGAATTCGTATGGGAATTTTCTACAGTAAACCAGGATGGCTATTTTGGAAAGAGAAAAGGTGGTTTACTCTCGTATTCCACAGGCTGTGTGGGAAGGAGTCAAACCAGGGCTTCTATTCATAGTTCAATCTCAGTCTCTGCCTTCCCCAGGCATTTCCAAGGACTCCCCACATTTTTCGCCTGGTTGGGCAAAGGCTATGCTTCTGGAGAGTGGACAGAGAGGCCAATTGACATAAGACAGAATGGGTGGGGAGGCAGAAGCCTGGAGGAGAAGGAGGCTTGGCCAAGGGTAGGAGACTGAAGGTCCCATTCCAGAATGGGGATTTGGGGATTAAAGAAAAAGAGTATTTCTATGTCATGTAGCTTCTCTCTTCAATCCATTTTGAAAGAGTAGTCCTCATTCAAGTACTTGTAAAGCTTGGAACTTTATATTAAAGCATCTGAAGCTACTCTTAAATTTTAGGTTACGCTTGAAACATAAAGTGTGTCTTGTTTGGCGTTCAACTTATTGTTATAATTTGCTTGTTTCCCTCAGTCCACAATTTCCACAAGGAAATCGTATCACAGCCAGCTGACCGTCCATCTTTTGACACATCTGTCTTCTTGTTTAAGAGCCACTGAATCCTGCCTTTTCCCTGCCAGCATAGAATATTGCCCTGTTTCCAAAATGTCTTGGCCTGCAGTTAAAGGTTGCCTGCTTTGCAATGGTTTCTATGAGTTCTTGCATTTGAAACTAAAATAAATAAAACATTCTTGCTACTCCTGGCATTCAAAAGTAAAGGTTGTTGGTTTTATGTATTTATAGGCACAGCCCTGGAGGCAACAGAGTAGAACCGGTTCCTGGAAGGGCAATGGGGTGATCAACTAAGTTACATGAAGAGTTATAGAAGGACCTGGGCAGGTTTAACTTTTAGAAGGAGTGGAGGGGGAGAGGGAGGGAGATGTTTCTTCAGGGAACTGACCAAATGACACACACACAGAGAAAATCAAGCCTTGTTTTGTCTCACCTCAGAATGAATGAATTTCAGTTACAGGAAGGGAAATCTTGCTTGTATGATAGTTCCTGACAAAAAGAGCAGTTTAACCAAAGGGCAATTTGGAAAGAATTAATAACTAAGAGATATTCTTTTTAAATAATAAAACAATAAAAATGGAAAGATTGGAAATGAAAGTATCAGTCAAGGGAGTCAAAGACAAAAGCTCTTTGACTCCACCCCCTCCCCGCCCCCCAAAAATAGATCTGGGTATGGAAAGAACAGCACTATCTTTATGTGCAAAATAATAGTTGTTCATTTTCTCCAGAAGATGGCACCAAATATTAGTTTTCCAAGGTTTGTGGCTTAACTTTATGAAATTGTGTGGAGGGTCAACATCCCAAGAATGCTATAAATTGGCCACTGCAGATTTGTGTGAAAACGTTGGCAGCCCATGGAATTGGAACAGTGCCAAGTTATGTAAATTTAATAGATATTATTAAAAAACCAAAGCAAAAGCACATACTGAAAAACCAACTCAACACACTATTCCTTTCAGAATGAGCAATGTCCCCAAAGTGCAGAAAAGAAGAAGAAGAAATGAAGGACAGAAAAGGAAGCACTTGCCATACATTCCCTACAAATCATTTTTGACTACATCATGTCTAGATACCACATCATCTATTCCCTTTTCTTTTTTTAATTCTTATTTCTCCTTTATCTCTTTTGAAGACTTTCATCAATTCCATGTAACTGGAATTATGTTTGTCTCCCCTTTTCCCTTCCTCTCTGCCTAGTCACTCTCCCATGAGAACTTGTTTTGGGATTTCATCCTCATTTGTTCATTTTCCATATGTGAACAAACCAACCACCCTAGATGTCTAAAGCTCCAGCCTAGAAAGTGGCAGCTAGTGAGTTCAAGTTCTGCCTCAGCCATGAAAGTCATCTGGGTGAGATTTTGTGCCTGTCATTCTCTCTCATCCCAACCCACCCCACAGGATCGTTATTGACTTGAAAAAAGGAAGAGGAAGGTGTGTTGGATATGGTCAGGGCCTTGCGTTATTTGTATAACCAATAAAGGCAGGATAAAAATAAATGAATAAATAAAAATAAATATTCCCATTCCTCAGCACCCATTCATTCTTGATTCTCTCCCTTCTTATTTTACCATACACACTTTTCAAGCATTTCTGTTTTGTTTATATTTCTCCTGACGTTCAATTCTCTCTTCCACAAGCATATTCTTATACCAAGCCATATCCCCTTCTCACGATGTTTAATGGCTGGAAACAAACTACATAATACCTAAAGTGAGAGTGATGGCATGAATACAGAAAAGATACAGCATGTCTAGAGAGAATGACATGCCTATAACCCCAAAAAATTGATGAAAAACATCAAGATGATATATTTTACTATTTTGCAGTGAATATAGATATCAGAATATTAAAAAAATAAAACCTAAGGAATAGGGGGGAAAAGCTCATTAACTAATAAAAATATTTTGGGCACATAAATTGGTACATACGTGTTTGTGTGTGTGTACACACAGACACACACACACGGGGTGGTGGGGGGGGCGGAGAGAGACAAATTTCCTGTTTGACTGGTTGAGCCAGGTTTCTATGTAGAGTGCCCAATCTGCCTTAGCCTACATGGCTAAAGCTTCAATAGAACAATCCTTTGCAAACTCAAAGGAATGAACCAGACTAGGGATTTAGCAAACTATATTTCCACCACAAAACTAACCATCATGCAAAGCAAATCTCTGCTGCCAGTTGCTAATTCTTAGCAGCAGATGACAAGTATCCATGCTAGAGAAGGGGCCACACTAGAGACACACATATTTTGGGGGTTACAAAGGATTTCCTGAAATGAAGCTTTTGATGGCACAACGGACTTGGCTTTTTGGCCCTAATAACCTGAAATGAAAACTGGAGAGAAAATGGTTTCTTTTTTCACTTAAGAGGAACCTGTTTGCAACCATTTTCTGCCTGGACTTTTCAATCTCCATCTTCCACGTGTTAATTGATGCTATAAATATCTATGATATCTCTTCCAGTCTGCTTTCCACCACACCAGAATATTTCATAGACTCCAATTCCCTGAGAATTCTCCTTCTCCTTTGCTGCATTCCTTCTGGAGCCATTATTCAGACCAAAAAACTTTATGAAGATGGGTTGTATGTCATTTGAACATAGAACATTATTGTCTTAATATTGCAAAATTTCATTTTTTAAAATCAGTTTCCCAGGTATAACAGTCTCCTCTTTCAAACTTATAAGGCAAATAACAAAAAAAATCATCCACTCCCACTATGGATGAGGGAGACTGGCAGTGGCATGTGAGAAGTTGCCTATGGCCTGTAACCACTGAGAGGGAGGCAGAAAGGGAATGTCCCGTCCTCAAAATCATATGGAGGTTGGATCCAACCAAGGACAGACTGGCCAGGAACTCTGGGTGTTGTAGTTCAATTAATTTTGAGTGTATTGGCTAGGAGGGGGGCTAATGAATACATCAACAATTAAATGTATTTTCTGGACAACACTGGAGTTCCTGCATGAGAACAGTTTAACAACAGAGACATTAGCCACCTCTTGGGGACACTAGCTCTGGATTTCCTGCATTTAGAGCAAATAAAATCTTTGCCAGATCAATTCTCGAATACAGCTTGTTTGCCTGGAATCCACACTGTATATCGCATATTAACACAATTGAGCAAGTCCAGAGCTACTTCACGAGAAGAGTACTTCACTACTCTGCTTACAACAGAATACCTTATGCCACCAGGCTCAAAATTTTGGGATTGGAAAACCTAGAACTACGCCGCCTACAATCTGACCTAAGTGTAGTACACAAAATTGTCTGCTACAACGTCTTATCTGTCAATATCTACTTCAGCTTCAATTGCAATAATATAGTTATTTATTTATTTATTGTCATATTTATATGCCACCCTTCTCCCAAGGGACTTGGGGCGGCTCACAGAATAAAACAACCCAACAATAAATAGAATTAAAATGTTAAAATCCAATTTAAAAACCCCAAATCCCCCAAATTAAAATGCACGGCAGATCAGGGAATTTGCTGAAAGAGCCATGTCTTTAGGTTGGCGCGGAAGGTGCGGAGGTCGGGGGCCATCCGGAGCCCAGTGGGTAAACCATTCCAGAGGGTCGGTGCGACCACAGAGAATGCCCTCATCCTGGGGACCGCCAACCGACACTGTCTGGCCGATTGGACCCGGAGGAGGGCAGTCCTATGTGAGCGCACTGGGCGGTGGGAGGCCGGTAGGAGGTAGTCCTACAAGTATATGGGCAAACAATAGATACAAATGCAAAGTAAACCATTCCAAACTCAATTGCAGAAAAGATGACTTCAGCAACAGAGTGGTCAACGCCTGGAATGCTCTATCCTCAAACCCTCACAGGGTTGCTACATCCTCAAACCCTCACAGCTTCAACCTTAAACAGTCTACCATGGCCCTCACCGTACATTCCTAAGAGGTCCATAAAGGGGGGCGTGCATAAGTACACCATCGTGCCTACTGTCCCTGTCCTACTGTCCCTATTTACTTGTATTCATTCCTAGTTCATGTCCATGTTTATACTTATACCTGTTATCTTGTACATGTTCAACAAATTAAATAAATAAATAACAAATAAAATTAAGCAGAAGTTGAACTAAGTAATTGTTCTCCAGATCTCTCCAATTTTATGCCATAAAAGAAGAGTTTTTTTTTTAATGTAGCAGAAACAATGCCATCTTTACAGGAAAGGGAGATTGCCAATGGACTTTGGCAATATTAACATTTGCAGATGATTAAAAAAAACAAAACCAACCCATTTAGGAACAAGATTCCAAGGTGAACCCCTAGCCCCAATTCATCTCAAGAAGAGTATCAAGGCATAATATACGAAAAACATTATGTCGTTTTGGTAGGAGGAGAAAATAATGGAGAAAAAGGAATAACATGAATCATTTTGGTGGAGGGCAGGGTTCATTGAGTCTAAGTAGTGCAAGTCTTATTAATGATTCATCTCATCCTTAAGTATGATAATAAATATCCTCCTTGCTTCTTACTTTTCCCTGACCTTCCATCAATTAAGCAACAAAGTCATCTTTTTAAATACGTCTCTCCATTTCTGTGAAGGATTTGCCCCCAAGAAACCAGGAACTAAGAAGCAATGGCATTTTCTTAATGGTATTTGCAGGCTCAGATGTATGTCACCCTTCAGACAGTATGGAAAATGTCATTCTTTGCAAGCTTGTTGCATCAGGTAATTTTGTCAAATCAATTGCCAGATCAGTTGCTGGGGAATGAATGTTTCTTCCCAATATCCTTGTCACCAATGTATCTTCATGTCCTTCAAGTAGGCATGTACTGTATATGGTCGCCATCCAAACATCCATTACAGGAGGATTTAATAATCTCTTAATGTAAATGCATATTTATTTATTTATTTATTTATTTTATTCAATTTGTATACCGCCCTTCTCCTAGTGGACTCAGGGCGGTGCACAGCCAGAACTAAAACACATACCAATACAAAATTTAAAATTTTTAAAAGAATTTCATGACTTTGGCCCAAAATTTAAATATTTAAAAATATTTATCAGTTATATGCTTTTTTTACCCAAAGTGAAGGTACATTGTATGAAATTTTCCCTTTGTCAGATTTTATGAGGCTTTCATGCAGATATATGCATGATACACTGGGGAAATATACAAAATATGCATCTGTCAGGGAAGCCAACATTCAAATATATATTATTGTTAGAGAAAAGAGTTTGCATCCATTCGATGTT